GACCGGCTGTAAGCAGCCGCACAGTGGGTAATATAGAATCATAGAAACATAGAACCATAAAATCACAGAATGGTTTGGGTGGGAAGGGACCCCTAGAGTTCGCCCAGCCCAACCCCCCTGCAGGAGCAGGGACACCTTGAACCACATCAGGTTGCTCAGAGCCCCATCCAACCTGGCCTGGAATGTTCCCAGGGATGGGGCCTCCACCCCCTCTCTGGGCAACCCCTGCCAGGGTTTCACCACCCTATAACATTATATCATATTAGCCATAAAAGCCCCAAACTCCATGTTTTTTGCATTTCCACTGGGACAGACCTTTATATCTAAAAGACATGAGGATTGCTGACTCTGAAAACGGAACTGGTTACAGTGGGCGCAGGAGGCAGTGGCATCTCCTTCCTCCACAGCATCCCCTTCCAGCCCTCGGGCAAACACCCAGCGCAGCCGGCACGGGGGTCCCTGCAGGAGCGAGCCCAGGTCACAGGCGGCAGCACCAGCAGGGCTGCAGGGGGGCCAGCAAACGCCGAACGTGCAGACGCTCCGGTGTCCCTGCCGCACCGGGCTGCGAGCCCCCGCATTAGTGACCCCTCGCTGCAGCCCTGCAGCTCTCACCCCACCTGTTTTAAGGAATGTTTCGTTTATTCTCCTAACTCCCCACAATCCATTTCTATCAGCCAAGCCGTATCAGATGCAGTCCCACGACTGTGAAGCTGTGGGAGGCAGGCCTGCTGGATAAATCCTTGGATTAGTTAAAGTATTCCAGCAGTGAATTTTAAATACGTGCATGAATCCTCGGTTGTTTGCATCCTAACCCCTCCCAGTGCCCGAATTATCTTCCTTCCCCCAGATCTAGCCGTGCTCCTGAGCAGCAGGTATAGCATTACACATCACACATTGCTTAATGAAAATCTCACAGCCTAATCTGTCCATTACCTATTTTTATTGCCTTTCTGTTCTTTTTTTTTTTAATTGACATGCTTCTTTATTACTTATTTCTAGCTGATCAGAACCTGAGCTGCAGGTAATTTAAAACACACTGCCTGCTCTGCATTGATAACTTTCGTAGTCTCCTAAACTGCCCAGGAGTCAGTGCTACTCCGTGCTTTGAAAGACAAGCCTTTCCGTAGAGATTTATTAGCACTTAAAAGTCTTCCTGTCAAACTCCGTCCTGAATTCCACCGAGAATGTGCAAAATCCAGTGAAGTCAATGGCTTGGAGGACCATAAAACCGCTTCCAGTTTAGCTCCTCAGCTGGTGATCCACCAGTTTTAGATCCTTTAGTTGGTGAAGAAACACCGAACACTCACTGATGGGGCAAGGATCAGGACCTGGATATGCTGCCGAGTGACTGCAAAGTTGGTGTGAATATAACCCTAGGAGAACTGTCACAGAGTCACAGAATGCTCTGGCTGGGAAGGACCTTTAGAGGCCATCTAGTCCAACGCCCTGCAGGGAGCAGGGGCATCTTTAACCAGATCAGGTTGGAATCATAGAATAGAATCATAGAACCGTTTAGGTTGGAAAAGACCTTTAAGATCACCAAGTCCAACCATTACCCTAGCACTTGTGACCCCATCAGATAGAGCATCTCTGCGCTTTCTGCAGGCAGACAAACCTGGATGACTTCAGCAGCTACTGAAATCCGGCTCATTTAATGCCAGTTCAGACTGTTTTGCTTCAGTCTTCATCTAAATCTCTCCGGGATGCACTGCTATTTAAGTGCTCCAACTGCTGTATCGCTAATTCATCACCGCCACAGCTTTCCCCCCTCACCCCGCTCTCTTATTTAAAGACAGTATCAACTTCGGGATCTGCTTTTTCATGGGAACAGTTATAGAGCAGTGAAACAGCATTTAAAGCAATGCATCAATTTACCAAGCTTTAATTGTATGCAGCTTTTAAATTAGCCCTCTTAATTCGAAATTTAACACATTTGCACTTTTGCATAAAGTGCTGCCCCAATTCATCAGAATTAAACTGTTTATTATACTGTGAATTGCTTACTTCAGGGTAGTAATCAGTGGTAGGTATGAGATGCTGGATTAGAGCATCCAGAGATGCTGAGGTAAGGTTTCCATCCTGGAAGATCAGTCCGCCTTGTTCATCTTCTTTTGAAGTATGTAGATGAGGGCTGAAGCCACATGGGGTGAACATAGTGGTGGAGCTCAGCGTCTGGGGCATGCCTTCCTGCAGAGACAGAAGCTCACGTCAGGGACAAGAGCCAGCACATTCACGGCCACGGCCGTCTGCTGCTTGATTTGAAAACACAAGGCACAAGCAAGAGCTCCTCATTCACCAGATGAACACGATCGCTCATTCTAACCTTTTTTATTGTTGCCATTGGCAGATCACGCCCGGATGGGAAATACACAGGAAAATGGGGCATTTTGGTTTATGCTTCTGGGCCAGAAAGGGACATCAGCTGCTTCGGGCTCCCACCCCAGTCAAGAGCGGCTGCGACGATCCCCTTTTTGCTACCAGCCCTGGTCAGTCCCCCGTAGGAGAGCCAAGATACGTGGGGCTTGGATTCCGCGGGTTCCGGAGCAGAACAGAGCTGTTCGCTTGAGCCTCTGCCCCCGGAGAATGAGGGAGGGAGAATTCAGGGGGAGAGGGGGCGAGAAAAGGGGAGCGACCCGAGGCTGGCTCGGGATGGCCCTGGGAAACACTGCGGGGCTCCCACGGGACGGGGGGCACCAGAGCGGGCAGGGGGCAGCAGCAGGGGCAGGCGGCAATGGGGGGAGGACGGAAACATGAAGGGAGGTGGGGGGATGGAGGACGCGGGAGCTGAAGAAGAGATTGAAGAGCAACGAAAAGAGAAACGAGGGAGAGGGAGAAGGCAGACACCTGCGCTATTTTTGGAGCCTGAAGTTAGTCAGCCCTAGATCTATACTTAGGCACTAAATAAATGTTTCAAAAAGATCCTGAGCACTCATCGACTTCAGGAGAGATGCAGAGTCCTCCGCACCTTTGGAAAGGAGGCCAGGCAAACTCGGAGCCCGTGGCTCAGTTCAAGCTCCCCGCATTATCAGTTCTCTGGACTCCCTGGGCTGCATTCCAGGCTCCACCTCAATTTTGTGGCTTACCATCAGCTTTTCATGTTTCTTCTGTTGAGCAAAGTCGGTTTGCTCCTGAACTGGCACAGGGGGATGACAGGTTTTGCCCCGAGCGCTGTAAAGCATCTCCAGCCGCCTCTGAAATCCGCCCTGGAAGCTGCTCCGCTCTCAGCAAGAGGCGGCATTTAGGATGGGGACGCACAGCTCCCCGGGAGCCAGCACCCCCGTTACCGCATCCCATCCCCTCCAGGGAGCTCACACAGGCTGGGAGCATGGGCTGCCGCCGGGATTTGCAACCAAACAAAAAGGAACCCAAATGTCAAACCCAACAAATCCCTGCCTTGACTGAAAAATGAAATAGATGCCAGGGGCTTCAGTTTAAAGGCCGGAATACCCGACCGCTGCCCCAGCCAGACTGGAAGCAGCAGCATCTCCTTTTAATGGGCGTGCAGGTGTGCCTGGTAACACAGCTCCGAGCACCAGTAATCGCTGCTTCTCGTACGCAGCTCAGGCTCCGCGCAGTAAATGGGAGAGACGGCCACGTCCCATTTGTTACTTCGAACACGCTCTGTGTTACTTCTTCTTCCTATGGCAATAATCCCAAGAAGGATCGCGTGTCCATATGGATCAAGAAATAAATCTCAGGGACAGACAGCTGTCCAGAAGAGGAAAAGAAAAAGTTAAACCAGCTGTGAGCTTACAGCACACAGCCTGGCTTCAGCGTAGGGCAATCCAAAGTAATCGTTTATTCAGCGCAATCCCTCACTGCCAATGCCATTTTTATTATCAAATAGAAACGAATCTAACCAGGATATTGCCTGAACTTCTGCATCTCACGACATGAGAAATCTTGCCGAAATACACAGTAATGCTTCTTAAGAAAAACTTACCATTTTTTTTTTAAGCGAATAAAACCAGCAGTACAACTGTCACCAAGACGTCCATCTTGGGTACTGTACAGAAATTAAATCTGACTTTTTATTATGAAGTTCCTGGTCTAATCCCAAGTTTTCAGGCAAGGCCTGTGTCATATCTGAGCTGGTGCCTGGTTGCCCCCTTACTTGCCACTGAAGAGGACCTGAGGGTTTTAACTTCATGCCTTTTTGCTCGCTGTTGACTGATACCGTTGTGTTCACAGCAGGACGAAGGCCGACTGCACAGAGACTGAAAACCTCCTGCACTACCAAGCTTGATAACAACTAACACCAGTATTTGGCAGACAGGAATTTAGGACAGGGACTTTCCTGCTCACCCCACCTCATTTCTTTTTCTGTTCCTGCCGTTTCCAAAGCACTCTTTTCAGAAGCACTCAATGGAAACAAGACCTTGCTTTGGAAGAGCCCAAATACGCGATCGCCTGCGGGAGGCAGGAGATGAGGTTATGCTGTCAGTCACTCGCGGAATACAGAAACAACAAGGGAAGCACTGAGAGAGGAAAACAAACACGCCAACAACCTCAGGGAGGTCTGTCTTGTTGCAGTGACGGTGCTTTGGCTGATGGAAAAGGGTAGGTGGCGTAGACAGCGCCAGCCCCTTCTCCAAAGGGTGAGAGGCAACCGGCTGCGGATGGGAAATTCCACTTGAACATAAGAGAAAATCTTCCCCCGAGCACCGCACAGATTGGAAGAGGGACCTGGAAAGGACGTTCAGTCTCCATCCTGGGAGATTTTCAGAACCCAGCTAGACAAGGCCCTGAGCAACCTGAGCAACCTTTGAAGTTAGCCCTGCTTCGAGCGGGAGCTTGGACGAACAACCATGGGAGGTGCCTTCTGATTAACTTTTCTGTCTTTAACTGTTGCAGTATTTCCCCATTTCTGGGCTCTTTAATATAAACCACAGCAAGTAAAAATCTAGTCTTGATAATTAGATATTTGCAAAGAAGTCCACAGGGGGTGTAAAAACTTTTTCCACTTTTCCTGGAAACAACAGTCTGCACATGGCCCAAAACTTCACTCGAAGACCACCTGGACGTAACCTGAAGTCAATGAGATTTAAGCATGTGAAAATTCTGCAGGTGAGGGCTTCCCCAAACTTTAGTCCAAGTCAGCATGCAAAGCTTTGCTGTTCCTCTCATTTCAGAAGGAAATCACGATGCCGATTTCAACCACGATTTGCAGGGTGATAGAGTGCTCACAAGAGCCTGAATTCCTCGACGCACCATAAAGCTGAGCAGCTGGGTAGAGAAGGAAAGACCCAAATTATTGACTTCTGGGCACAGAGCAGCAACGCGAGCCGGCCTGTCGCCGGACTCAAGAGGACGTGTACGGAGGTGAGAGCTCTTACAAGTACACTAGCTGAAGGAGCAGCACCCACCAAACCTTGCTGAGAACGGGGAAATCTAATGCAAGAAAAAGCCAAACCCCACGTTTCACAAGTTCTCTTACGCATACGTATTAAGACCTGGAAACAGCCATTGGTAAACATCCTGGAGAGCTGGTGCCCTGGCTCTGGAGGGATATACTGCTATAGCCTGGTCCCAAACCAGGCTTAATGCTGGTGGGTTCAGAAGGAGCAGAGATGCTTTGCTGACAGCACACAGGCTCTTGTGGCAGTGACAAGGGTGAAATGTGTGCCTTGAAGGACCGTGGTGGTAAACAGTGCTGGAGGGAGCGCTGCTGGTGGGGGGATCTTGGTGAAGGGCAGCTTTCCACACCCTGCCATGCACAATGTCTGATCATACAGGCGGCTGCACACATACGGCATTTAAACTATCCCTGTGCTCTAAAAGACTGAGAGCTGGAGATGTGAAAGTGTCTCTGCACTGATTAAAAAAAAAAAAAACCAAAAAAACAGCAACAAAAACCCAAAAAGAAAACACAAGGGGAGGCTGTTTCTGGGCCTGGCTTCCATTACACAGGACCTTCCATGTGGGAGAAGGCAGGGCATGTGGTTATAAAATGGAAAAAAATGAGGTTGGACTCAGCACTGACATCTGCACAAAGGCCACATAAAACGCTGCTGAGCCAGTACTGTAGCATTTTGCATTTCTTTTACCAAACTGTGGAGACCAGCAGCGGTGGCACCGTGCCATCAGGAATCCCAGCGCTGCGCAGGTGGTGCTGACCAAGGCGGCACAAGAACGCTCCCTCCTCAACACGTGTTGGGGCCCTTCGCTGCGAGGTGTCCCGGTCACCCTCTGTCCCTAGGAACAAGGAGGAGAATGGTGTCACATCGGATCGCAGCGGGCTCCTCAGTGTTCTCCCAGGTCCTGGGGGGGGGTCCAGCCAAGGGCTCTCCAATTGGGAAACGCAACAGCTCAAGCAACAGCTTGTTCAGCTACGGCTTTTTTGGGTGATGAAGCCGGGTTTGCTGGAAGTGAGGCCGTTGCTACTGCAGAGGAAATGGCCTTCTGGGGTCTCAGGGTAATAACCGGGACAGGCAGTCTTCTCCTGCATTTATTTCTACCTCTACCCCTTTTTGCTGTTCTTCTGTTTCAGCATTCATCACTCTTAGTGTTTACTGGCTATTACAAAGTGCCTTTTCCTTACATTCTTTAAATATATTTCGTACTTTTATAAGACTGGAAAAGAAGTTAAAAAATCATGGCAATATACTGCTTTTCAATCCTTCTTCACTGGCCAGGACTGCGAACTATTCCAACACAGCGATGAAAACAGGCAATCCATAGCCACTTCTCACTACAAATTACGCTGCTTACACAAAAATATTTAAGGACTTGATTCACTGAGCCAAAGCACGAGACCAAGTGATCAGCACTGCTTGGAAGAAAAGCCACCCACAAACTCTGCACCCATCTGCAGCCCCAAGGGGCTTAAAACCTCTGGAAAAACAGTGCCCAAGCCCAGAAGACTGAGCTGGGCATGGCCTAAAGAAAGAACTGGCCAACTCTGCAGATAACGCGGGCCCACCAGCCTGCAGCGGGAGAGGCTCAGTGTGCTAGAGGATGGCTAGCGGATGGCTAGCAGGCGGCCAGCGCCGCCTTGCCGGTGCCAGCCAGCTGACCTGGGGCAGCGCCCCGAGGGTAAATACCCCGGCAGTGCTCCCCAGCTCCACCGCCTGCTGTTGCAGACATTCCCGGGGCAAGTACAGCTAATGCTTACATGGACACAAAACGCTCGGGAAACATTTAATGTGTTTTTCAGTGGCTTTGATATGATAAGTGTTTTA